AGGTAAGTCCTTTTCCTAATTGTGTCATTGTAAAAATACACCTTCCATTTTTTCCAGTAGCCAACATCTATGCTCAGCAGATGTTACCAACAGCTTTCAAAAGACTGTTACCCAAAGTTAGAAAAAAAATATGGAGAATATAAGCAGAAACAATTAATTGCCAGTCCTATGATAGGGAAAGCATCCTACCTACAAGACCTTGTGGATGTTGTATGGCCCATCACGCTGCAGTAACCTGGAGGATAGGGGAAGAGGAGGAGACTACAGGCTCCAAGGTTTAACGATTCCATAATGAAGCAGATCTTCCAGAAATCTAGCACACTACTTGTTCTACTGGAATCTGACACTACAAACTCGAATCATATTGTAGTGCATCAAAAAATTTCAATGCTGCAGATTGAATGACGGACAGATGAAGATAATCTGTGGGAGAGGCTAACAAGAGCCTGTCAAGACTAACAAGAGCACCACTTTCAGTTTTGGTACAGGAAGATAGAGCATAGGATAGGATTTTTCTGTTAGCTACTAGAAAATATACTATGGAGATAGTCCTTATTTCCCCCTGTTCCCTGGCAGTGTCTTTGAATTTCATCACAGCGATTTGAAAAATTGCAATTGAAAAAAACACATTGAAAAAGATTTTTGTTGAAGATTTTGACAAATCAGTATCTCCGAAATATTTTCACTCCTAGCAAGAAGTCATTGTCCTTCTCTGGATTTAGCTACATTATTCATAGTCCATAAATTTTTCATTCAAAAAATGATGTGATATATATCACCTAAATGGACTGGAGTACTGGGAACAATGAAATCTCTCCCTAGCCTTAAGACTGGTATATTAAGATTTCTTCCTTTCCTTTCCCACCCACCTTCCTCCCCCCAGTTCTTTTTCTTTCTGGCACTTAAGTTCAGAAGAAAATAAAGATCTACAGTTTTTCTTAATAAGTGCTGATTTTTCAGATAGCTACTTATGTAACTTGACTTTCATCTCCTGTTTATTCTTTTCTCTTTTTACATCTTTAAGCGTATATATTGTGAAACGTTTCCCTGTGATACTCCTATACTTTCTGATTTGCTATTCCTGAACAGCGTTTCACCTTCAATGTATGTTTCCTCCATCCTCTTTTTCTACCATAGTTGCTAAGTTACCAAAATAATCTGAGATTTAACCGAGATCACCGAGGAACACGAGGTACTTCGTAAGATGCATGAATAAACCACCCTGTCCCGAGTAATTTACAAACCTAAGGCTCTCACCTCACACTGGAGCCCAGATAGGCAGACCATAAAGCAAATAGGGTCTACTAGAGTTGAAAAAGTCTACTTGAAAAGGAGATGTCCTGAAAGAACAAGTGGTACCTGAAAGCTGACTGGAGGAAGGTTACAGTCCAAAGCACACAAACACTTTGTCCAACATATTGGAAGACTACCATTTCCCTACCTTGAAAAAAAAAAAAAACCAAACACCTTTAATCCTCCAGTATATCCCTCCTTCCTTAGCAAAAGAAATTCTGTCCTTTTTTTTCCATTGACCTCTTGGGATGGCAAGTTTCTTGTCCTTTTTTTCTGGCCAATACTTCTGGCATCATCTGCAGCACTAGGCAAGGAAATTCAGAGAAAAGACCTCTACAGCTCAGCTGTAGCTAAGGTACCAGCTGTGCCCTGCTTACAGGGTATTACGAAAGCAAAGAAATACATCATTTTAGAGAGCCTGCAAGTGTTAAACTGTATGACAGAAGGTTTTTTTTCCTGAGCAACGGGCCCATTAGCCTTTACACCTACAAGAGCCTTATTAATTCTTTAGAATAAGGCAGGAGTAAAAGCACAGATCTCTTCCTCAGAACATGATTGATAAGACAGGTCTGCGATCTACAAAAACATACCACTGAAATGAGAACAACGGAAAGCAGAACTGCACTGTGGAGGTGATATATTCCTATTGGAACTGTCCTTTCAGTATAGAACGTTATTAAAACTAAGCAACACACAGCAAAATCAAGCAAACGTGATAAGAAAAAAAAAAAAAAACCATAATACACAAAATCAAAACAAAACTAAACCCCAAACCTAAAGTATGAAGACACTGCAATTAACTAGCCTCAGAATACTGAATTTATGTATGATTGCTTATTTGAAAGGAAAATTATTTTAAAATGCCTGTTTATGAAAGCGTTTCAAGTGGACTCTCTTTTCTGAGGTAGACAGTATGCAAATAATTTTCATTAAAGGAAGAGTATAAGGTGGAAAATGAGGCTAGTACTTTTCAAGGGGATGTTATATTTGCATTTTTGCTGCTAAATAACCAAGTTGGTCCGTGTCTTTAAATCGCTCTGAAATAACAGAGTAGGAATCTGAGAAAATCAGTCCTTTGGGGCAAGAGTTAATTTCAAAATAAAAATAAAAATAAATCACTGAATCTTTTCCCCTTTGTATTGGATTTCTAATAACACTACATGAAGATGACTATTGGACTATTGGAGCAATGAACCTGAAAAAAATGACACTCACATGGGAAAAATGACTCATAGTTAAGATCATAAATATATTTTTCAACTTTCTGCTTTTCAGTGCTCTGAGCTCAAGATGATAGGGAGCCTCAGAGAGCTGTAAGTCTTTTCTTCCTGTCAATCCCAAATCGTATGCTTGCCTTCTTTTTGCACATGGAAATTTTTTCCAGTCACAAAAAAAAAATCTGGATGTTTCTTCAGAATTCCTAGACATAAGCTAATGCAGCAAGCTCATCAGCAGAACTTGGGCTACCTGATAATTGGAAGTCACCAATCATACAAACAGGCACTCTGTGTATACAGATCACCTGCTATTTCTAGAGTTACAATGACATGGGGCATTTTCTCTAGACAATAGCTATGACCTAAGATCCATGGTTCATACCATCTCAACAACGAAACTAGAAGTTGCCAAAACCCTGCAGAAAACTTGCATTGGCAAGATATTTATTTTAATTGCATGTATTCTGCACAAATCTTCCAGTCATAAAATATCCTGGGTTTTCTACCTTTCCATTCTAACAGGAATATGTCTCCCTCAAAAAGGTATATATGAACACACCAAAGTATATCACTTATTAAATGTGCAGAATATATTTCCAGTAATACCTATTAAACCTTCATGATGCAAATAGCAAAACATTTTTATTATAGAAGTTTTATGTTCGAAGATAAATAAAAACATCTTTTTAGTGATATTATCATTTTACTTTCACTTGATTTTTGTTCCTTCATGATATCTTAAATTTAATTAATACAAGAAATAGCTTTTGATAACTGCTCTACGAAAGTCAGCCACAAAAAGGCATGTAAGACATGAGTGGCCTTCTGCACTCTGAAAATTATTTAACAGAGAAGAAGACAGCCAGACGTTAGCACACTTTCACACAGACTAAAAGTATCCATTTGTGGAACTGCTCCAAAAGAGCTATCACATTTTAAATGGACATCTTGACTTCCAACGTACACATGCCTGCAGAATTCCCTGAGTGCTTAAAGTAATAGTTCCAAAACCATGGGACGTTATGTGCAGTGTTGGTGTCCCACTGAGAGAAAACCACCCTAATTTCGGCTCACAATGCTGTGACTGACTCTCTACCTGAACTGCACAAACAGAAGATTCCCCCTGCTGTTTCTTTGAGCTAAACTTATGAAAAGGGCAAATACGAGCAGTGCAATACCACAGATTTTGCTCCAGTAAGAATACGGGGCTTGGTCCAAAAGAAATGAGCTTCTTGAACCCAGTCTGCTGCCAAGGGCTTCCACACTGCAGTACGCGGCCCCTGCTTCACTGACCCTGGCACAGCAGAAATATTGCACCATAAGAACAGTCACAATACTGTATTCATATTCCTGAAATGTTAACTTAAAGCTTCATTGCAAACTCCAGGCTACAATATACTGCTACATAAAAGGCTCTGAATTTTACTTGGAAGACCTCAGGTGAGAAAGGGAACGGAATTAGATAAAGCCTCTGATTTTTCACAAATTCAGTGTGACATTGAAATACACAGTTCTGCTCTTCTTGTCATCTTTATCATCTGCTGTATGCCAGAAACATCCTCCTTGTGCATCTGTGCCTCTTCTTTTGTGCATCATTTGCTGAAGAGACTCTCTCCAACTCAATGTAACTGGCTTAGTGAGATTTACTAGGACAACTGAGGCTGCTTGGAACCAAAACCTGTCAAAGCATCAAACACAGAGTATGTCTACACAAAAACTCTTCTCTGATACTGTTTTGCAGAGATGTAAGGATAGCTTTAAATTAGCTTTTCTAGGTAATGGCAGTTATTTAGTCACATGAACTTGGAGCTCAGCAAGGGCCAGATGATAGTTCTGTGGAGAGTAACTTTAAAGACTATCTTGATTTGATAAATTTTAGGTATGTCAACTGCACTATGCAGTCACTTACTTGAGTACTGGGAGTGTACAGCTTAAGTAAACTGGAGTTACTGTTGGAATTAACAATTCCAAAAGATGTTCAAAAGTTATTGGGAAACACTGATTCTGTTCTTGCAATGGCATCATTAAAAGTTGACTTTACATTCTGCCACTGCATCACCATAAAGAAAAACAGGGCAAGACCAGTTTTTTATGTGTTTTGGTATCCACTGTATTGGTGGATAGTCTCAGTTGTTCTTAACCTCTCTTTTATCACTGCTAAAGAGCATCCATGTTTTCCCCAAACCTAAGTAAGAACTATATGGCAAACAATTTCGAAATGAAATTATGTAAACATTCAACAGTACAGTGTTTGAATGAACAGAAAGGTTTCTACCAAGAATTCATTGTTTTTCAAGAGAAACACATTTTCATGTTTAGACAGAAACTTTTATGCCTCAGATTCTAATAGACCAATCAACTGTAGATATTTCTAAAGTAATGTGAACGTAGGAAAGAAAGCTATCTGATTTCAGGGGAAGGGAAACATGGAAATGTTAGTTGAAAATTCACCTCATTTATTATTTTGTTTAAACTGAATTTTTGTCTTACCGTCATGATTGGGATTTCCCAAAGTCCATGGCTCATCTGAGTCAAAATGAGTGTCTCCCCCGATCCCTGGCCCAGGGAAATATGCATGAGCCAAAAATCCTCCCTCCCCATCAAAGGGAGAACTGTCTCCATGAAAACCTGATGCAAAAATGATTGTAATATCCACGTCCCTCTTTCCATTTTCTAATTCAATATAAGGAACTTCTTCAAATGTTAGAGGAGTTACATTCTGCCACACATCGAAGGCACGGCGAATGGCTTTACGGGTTTCAGCATCACCTACTTTTGGAGTGACGTTCTTTATGCTGAAAGAAACAGAGAAACAGATTAAATTTCACAGAGTGGTAAGTAACATTGCTTAAATACATTTTCCCCTAATTATTAAAAGCACTGTGTTTTTAATAAAACATGCTAGTCTGGCGTTATATCCTTTAAGAAGAGTATTTTTAAATAAGCAGGTACGAAATTATTGTGTCATTCTGTGTAGCCCTTTATGCTAGGACGTATTATATGTCAGTTAGGTTACTCTCAGCGGTACAAAAATCTCATTTTCAGAAGATTAAAAATATTTTTAAATGAAAAATTCTTAACAGTGGGATAACCAGATTAATCAACCACTGACTGTTTACCTCCTGGACCACAATTAGAATCCATCACAGCTAAAGAACGGCATGCCATTTCTGATCAAAAGAAAAATGTTTCCAGTTAAATGAAATTTTAACTTCTTAAGTGAGTCCATTAACAATAGCTGAGCTCCATACTGTGAACACCAACCAGTATTCACAAAGTCTTAAAAGCAGTTCTTGTTGCATTTGTAACTGAATAGATAATTCCATATCAGAAACAAAGCCTTTTTATTTCAATGCAGGCTAAGATGTCCCTTTATGATCTGATTACTTCTATAAACCTCGCATAAAACTGTAGAATTTGTCAGAGAAATCATTTTACAGAAGATAAGCTTGTGCTAATTCAGAAATATATATTTAAACAGAAATTTCAGTCTCTACTACTTCAAATGACACATAAGAGAAAGGCAAAAAACCATCGGAATTACAGCTGAGTTTAGTGTCACAGTTAGTAGCAAATTATAGTGGAACCATCTTTAAAAAAACTTCTTTATTTATTTTTATTATTGAATTCAATAAAATAATGGCAGTAATCAGTTTCAGACCTATCCAATTTCCTCCGTCGTTTTTATTCAATTCATATGGCCAGCAAATACTCTGTTAGGTTTGTGTCTTTTCTGAAACTGCTGCTATCAGATGCTCTTGGTTCATTTGACATGTGCTTGACTGAGTGTCCAGCACAAACTGCAGAAACTATGTAGTTCTAGAGCACATGCAAGTTTTATGTAAGTTTACACAGCATATGTGTTAATGGAGAACAAAAATATTTCCATAAAGAAATCTGGAATGATCGATTTGTTTGGTGCATTAAATGTGCTTGATTATATGGTATTGTAAGTTTATATAAATGGAAATAAATCCTTCAAGTTTAATTTTTATAGATTTGGCTTCACATACATAATATTATGCTCATATGTTCACACAGAAAAAATAAAGTTACCTATTTTGACTTCCACTCAAAAATATTCTTGTATTGAGTCCAATACTGCTAGTATGTATGTTCCAAAGAGATATCAAGACAGATTAGAAGATAATATACTGTAGAGAATCCACTGCTTCCCTTGCTCTTTTGTTACAAGGATGATTTAACCAGCCATTACACACTTGTGCCTATTCTCTTATTGGCCTGGCTTGTAACATTTTTTCTTGTTTTGCCTTTCTCTTTCACATGCATGAGACTTACGAACATTTTCTCCCCTAAAAAAACACATTTTGAAGACATTTCTGCACTGCAAAGTCATTACCTTTTTGTTCTCTCTTTGAAATTAAAATTTTGAACTCTTTAAGTCTCTTACTGTAAGACATTTTATCCAGTTTATTAAATATTTTCTGTGATTTTTATTGAACTCACTCCAATTTTGCAGTGTTCTCTGTCAGAACTACAAAGAACTGCTGTGCTGATCTCTCTGTCAGAGAGAAAAAGCCCTCTTATTTGTACACATAGGCTTACCCTGTGTCATGTCAATGTCATGTGAATCAAATTGCTTTGTTTGATATCGTTTCTTCATAGATATTTACTCATCGTTAATTTTATGATCAGTGTTGTGTTGATTCACAGGTGATTAAAAAAAACACTTGATGCACTGGACCAACTACCAGAGGTTCTGCAGAACCCCCTTTCTGAAAGCTCCTTCCTTTGTGAATTACTTTTTTGAGATGCTTTGGTTGGCAAGTTCATCAACTACTCATCCTGTGCCCCTCAAGAATGTGCAGCAATTTACAACCAGCGTGTCATATGGCACTAAATCTCACAAAAGCACACTTACACTGCCACTACCAAACTCTTGACAATGGTTAACCTGTTGCCATGCTAAGAACACCTCTTAGAAAGCTGTTAAATTTTCTTTTCATCAGTCCTGCACTGTGCTCTCTAAAGCACGCAATTGTCTCAAGCACCACCCACTGAAGGATTAAAACCTCGGTTATTTGCTATTTATAACGAATACAGCAAATAAATCAACAGGCTTTCATAGAAAATAGACTGTGTCTAACAAACCTGATATTTTGGTGTAGGAAAAGTTCACCTGAAAGAAACAGTTTGTTATTTTTAATTATTTTGTACTTAGGAATCTTAGTAAAAGGTCATAGTCACACTTTGTGGTTATGTAAAGAGAGCAAAAAGATAGTTTTATGCTGTTATATGTGATATAAGGAAATGGATAAAAACAGATTGGAATTTTCTACTGGTGGTAAATTGATTAATTGCCTGGACTGAAATGGTTTGACTCACGTATTAAGCCTTATCACTTTACATTTTCTTGCTTTTTCAGTGCATAAAATAATTTTTTAGCCATTGATTACAAATGAAAAATTGAGCCATTGTGCTAGTTTCACGCGCATTAAATAGGGGTGATTACCTATGATGGGAGAGCTTTTCCAGAGGATTCAGCTAGTGAATTACTTCTGAAATAGCATCCTACATCTCAAGATTCATTGTCAAGAAGAAAGATTTTTCAAAGCATACATTCTGTATTAAAATGAGACAGATTTTTGGCTTCCAGAACAACCTTCTGGAGAGGGTGAGATTATACTGAAAAATGTAGCTTCTAAAAGAAATGAAATAAATCAGTAGTTATTCCAATATAAGTATTTCCAGAAAATGATTGTCCATATTAATGTGTTTAACACAAGCCATGTTCAATCCTAAAAGGGAAAATTCCAATATTGTGTGTAACACAAATGTTGAAGTTGTCTATCTGGGAACTTTGCATAAATAAGTCACCAGGTAGATGTATGAAATCCAAGTTATTTTACATTTATTTTGTGGTGTTGATCATATAACCTCCAAAGGAAAAGTACAGTATAAAGATCAATCCTCACAGTCAACGTATCAACTACCAGATTCAGACTTATCTCTTAAAAGTCTTCGGTTTAGACACTGCAATAGCAAATAAGGTCTTCTAGGAACATCTTTCTTATTACATTTGACCATATACCTTAAAGCCAGCAGTCAGCTGAAGGAGTGATAACTGTCACTGGTAACAAAAAAAAGAGGAAATGGGTATCTTACGCTCAACACGTGCTGATAATGGACCTCAAACAAAAATAAGTGGAGGACATAACTCAGAACCACTCCTACTGCAAGGTGGCAGCACAGCAAGGCAAAGGCCATCACAATAAGAAAACAATATTTACTAAGTATTATTTTCCTAATCTCCAAGTCTAGTGATCATTTCACAGAAAAGATGTTCAGTCAAGAAAGATCCAATGGTGACCTTGACCAGATGCAAAGTGCAAGCTTAAAGGGAGGCTGAAGAACATACTCACCGTTCCTTCCAGAAGTATTTAAGTAAGCAAAAGATGATCTATAAGAGGAAACATCTACTTTGATGTAATTTTTTTACAAAGTAGTAAACTGAGTGATGCTTTGTATAAATTTTGGAAGCTGTTATTCTTAGACAACCACAGCAATACATAAATTGAATACAGTATTTTGTAGTTATTACTGCTCTGATGAAAACTTAAGTTTTCAACCTGATAGTTGCTTTAGGCATGATAGCTTTTAAATCCATGTCCTGCACATGAAGAATAAGATTTCACCAGTGATATGCACTTTTCACATCATTTTCACTAATTTACTATTTCTACAGATTCCTGAACAGTCTTGTTTTGGAGACTGTTATTCTGAAATTCTGATTCCTGTTAGTTTTAGAAAAGCTTTGGGTTTTCCTTCCCCTCCCCCTCCTTCTCCAAAATATCCTCAAAAAAAATTATCCATGTTTCAGTGACATATTTTTGGCTGCAACAGCTTCAGTAGCCTTGCAAGGCTGTCAGGATACACCTCACCTGGCTGTGTAAAATCAGTCATCTGAAATTTAAATACAGTATATTAAGTAGCACATATTTGCCATTGAATTTCACTATTTCCTTTTTTCCTTCCTAAGCTGTCATTAGAACAAATCGTTATATGTTTCATGTAAATTGCTATGATTCTGTATATAAAATCAACCCTTCTGACCCAAGCTAAACCCAAGAGGCAGTTCAGCAAAGGCTAGAAAATGCTCAAAATGCATAAAGCTTATTATTACTGCTCACCTTAGCAGTAATGGCCTCCACAAGAGTTGTAATAACTAGTGACAGACTTCTTCATGACCTGTAGACTTTGATACTTCTATTCTCTACTGTATATAATAAATACAATTTTTAAATTGGTTCTATGCTCATTTGTGTATAAATCCAGAGTACAAGATTAACAATATCTTACTACCCTCTTGGGATGATTAGACTGGATACTAATGAGCGCTTTTAGAATTATTAGGTAATTATAATGATGAAAGATGATATTTTATTTTTTTTAAGAACATAAATATATCTGTTAAATATAAATGGGGAAAATATTTCTATGGTGCCATTTCTCTCAAACATTCCAAGATTTTCTTGGAGCAAAGTCACAAACTGGAAACATCATTCTAAAGAAAGAAAGTACACAGAAGATAAAAGAGCAGAAAATTCAGCTGAGTAGGTTAAAAGATGCCGTCAGTAATCTTTTTAAAGCCAATTATAGATCTGAATTTGATATGAAATAGTTAAGATAAGATGAATTGAAACACAGCTTAAATTTGAATAATTTGTTGAAACTACCTTCTCATTGCCATCATTGTAAATCAAACCTAAACTCAACCAAAGCTTTTTTTTTTTTTTTTTTTTTTAAATCCCACTGTTACTTTGATTGAATTTTT